TGCTGAATTCTGTACCAGTTGGAGGCGAGAGAGTGATTTTTGATTTATGCCGGAGAGAAGGGAGTTGCAGTAATCTAGTCTGGAAAAATCTAGTTGTCACTGTTACTGGAACACTTAATGGAACTAAGCTATTAAGTCCACCCTGTAACATGAGTAACACATTTTACTGATCGTCACAAACACACACTTGCTTTCTTTTTATAAGAATTTGATTCATTAGGTTCAGTAACATTTGAAAAGTCTCAAAGAGCAATTATTACTATCTATGATCTATCACAACCTTTGGACTGTTAATTCCAAATGCCCTGAGACCAAATGTTGTTGTGAAATACCTTAAGAGAATTTTATCAGGTTAAAAAAATTTAGAAAAATCCTTGGGAGTGCCACTTTATAGAGAGATCGCGCACTTTTAGATAGCTGGGGCTGAGAAAGGAGCTGTTTAATGTTACAAAAATAAAATGAAAGTTGTAAAGTCCATTATAAAGCATGATGCCAGTATCATGAATATATGAACTATCACCATAACTGGCATCTTGCAAGTAGTGTGCAGCTTAAAATAAGTACTGTAGATCAACCATCAGTGTTTTACTCTTATTTTAAGATCTCATTAAAACATTATTCAGACTGTCAGACTGTGCTGAATCCAGCAATATATGATATGTAACTGCAGCATGTATTGTCAAGGGTCTACATAAAGAAATGTATGACATGTACCATCAAAATGAAACTGCCATAAATGGCTTGTCTGGGGTCAATAAAGGGACTACAAAATACACTTCAATATGGGAGAAATTGTATCCCAAAATGTATTGCAAGTTTTTTATAAACTTCAGTTTAAAGGGTAAATAAATGCTCTGAATGTAATAAGCACTGACAAAATACACTTATAATATGACACTGTAGGCATCCCCTATTTGTGGATGTGCAACAGTCCATGGTCAACCAAGCAATAATAAATATGCAATGTCATGTTCAAAATATGTCATGTTTAGGCACTCAGGAGAGGGGCATGAGCAAAACTGCATGTCAGTCGTACCGAAAGGTGCTGTGATTTTCTGTGGTCAGTTCAGGTCCATCAACACCGTATCAACACATTCTTACTGCCAACTCATAGGAGACTGCAGCTGAACCAGTGTCCCTAGCCCCATTATCCAATGTTAGACATTTCTTGCAAATCAACAAGGTGGGTCTTCAGCTTTGTAGAAGCTGTTGTCTTCCCTTTTCCATAAAAACTACTTGTAGTGTCACAGCCTGTGAGGGGGTGGCATGCAGGTAGATAGTCACATTGCTGAAGTTTCTGTGAAATAGCACATGGTGCATATGTCTCTTGACTTGAACTGTGCCTCCTCTGTTCCCTTTAAAGTAGAGCTGGGCAATAAACTGATTGAAGTGGATAATTCAAATTTCATAATTCTCAGGTCATACTCATGTTGTTGAATGTCTGTAGGTCTGAGTCATGGGATAGCTGCAGAGAGCTGTATACAAGGATCTTAGCACAACTGACACCATTGAACACAAGACACTGAAGGCTGATGTTTTCCAGTAGCACACAAAATGTGCACATAGATTCAGACATGCTCTTCCGAGGGTTTCTTGCAGTTTTTAAGCAGAGGAAGGTGTAGATGGAAACTGATGTTTCATGAACTTATTGCTGTCCATGTCTTTGTTTATTTATGAGGAAGCATGATACAAAAAACAAAGGGTGACTGTAACTGAGGCCACAGGAGATACAGCAATTACCGAAATGAGAGGAACCATCTGTGTACACCATTGATGGCAAGGTTCTTCTGCAGGGTCTCAGTGACTTAGACTTTGAGACATTCAGAGGACTTAAACTCTATGGCTATAGTCTTATAATTTAGACAGATATGACCAAAAGATGCTTAAAGGAAACAAAGAGGGACGGTTCAAGTCAAGAGACCTATATGTTATTACAGGAAGAGCAAATGTTCCTAACTGCAGATAAATACCTCAATTGCAGTGGGAACAAATCCTGTACAATGCAACTACATAGTGGATACAAGACCATTAAAGAAAATTGTTATTTTGGCAAGAGACTTTGAAAATGGTTAGGGGGTCAAGATGATCTGGCAGTCAGGGGTCAGAAAGCATTGCCTGTGGTAATAAAATATATGCCCTCCATCTGTATGGACAAAAGAGAAAAAAGTCCATGCTTGATGATTTTAGCATCAACAATGCATCAGCACCACGATTCCATCCAACTGAAGTTGCTTTTAAGCAACATGTTTTGAGAGAAATGTAACAGACAGCAGCGTGGAGCTATCTTCCAAAGGCACTTGTCTAGAATCCTATTGGACAAGGCTGATCCATTGAAATCCAACTGTCCCTCCCATAAAGCAGATGCTCCACAAGAGCACAGAAATACCACACCTCTTCTCCCAGCCCATTCTCACTCCTAACCCATAAAATACAGCAGCTTGGTCAGTGGTCTTATGCTTCAAACTATGACACTGTTGGTACCTTCTTTTCTGGACGTTACCATCTAGCGTATGTTTTAACGTGCTATCAAAGTCAGGTGACATAGTATAATGACAGATAAAGCCTGCATATGGAGGAGGTTGGGGTGGATTATATATATGGATATAAATATCTAATTTTCGGCCGATAATTTATCTGCCCCGTGCATTCCTAATCAAATTACATTTTAAAGTGACCCCTACCAACCCTGCCTATTACGTCAGGTACGTAACTAGCAATCTTTTCCGAAACCTAACCAAAGGGCTGGCAAATGGGCTGGTTCCACAGGAGATATATATTTTTATTAAGTTATTCTTTTGGCCTTTTCATACCTTTATTAGTAGAGATGGGATTTATGGCTCTTTGAAGGGAACCAGGTCTTGAGGAGCCATTCCTTTCAAAGAGCCGTTCAAAAGACTGGCTCATTTTTATATTTATTTATTATTTTTAAGGAAGCTAGCCTGGGGGGAACCCATTTATTCGTTGGTCCTCTTCTTCCCTCCACCACTTTGACTGTCGGGTGTTGAGTTTTTAAATGGCGATGCAAATTGTCTGTTGAGCCAGAAATATTATTTTTTCCATCCAAAAAGTGCATCCAAATGCTGNNGTAGCTGCAGTACTGACACTCACGTGAAGGCAGCGTGCCACTGTGTTGGACAACTCAGATGACGTCATATGAAATTTTCATATCAAATTAGCACCTGTGTACTCTGCTGCGCTCCCCCCCTGTGCATGCTCTCCGTCTCAGTGGAGTAGCAAAAGAGGAGCTTGTGTGCACATAATGTGTGTGTGACAGCGATTAAAAAAAAAGAAAAAAAGAACGGCTCTCAACTGCGACTCGGTTCCCATCGTTCACGTTAAAGAGCCGTTCAACAGACTCGGTTCGTTCGTGAACGTCACAACATTGCTGTTGTTGTTGTAATATTTTATTAGATAGTGACAGCAGGAGATAGACAGGAAAGGGGGGTAGAGAGAAAGAGGGGATGACACGCAGCAAAGCAAAGGGCCGCAAGGGACATTTTGATAGAAGGAAAATCACAGTGGTATTAATTATTGCTGCATTCCACTCAAGGGAGGGCCTGCTGTTGTGCATGCTGGTTCACTGTTACTGGAACACAGAATAGAACTAAGCTATTATTAAGTCCACCTGTAACATGAGTAACATGAGTAACACATTTTACTGATCATCACAAACACACACTAGCTCTCTCTTTAAAAGAATTTGATCCATTAGGTTCAGTAACATTTGAAAGGTCTCAAAGAGCAATTATTACTATCTATGTGTACAAGCTGAAGGAAGTCAGCCAGAGAAAACTGCTGATGCCTATGCTCTCAACTTGCTCTGCCAGAAAAGGACTCTAGTACACATGTTCTAAGGGGCCAACTTTCATTGGAATAAAAAAGGTACCTTCTGGGAACATATCCAGGTCTCAGCATACATCTGTGATTGGGGCAGTAGGCGACTGGAGCCATGACATTTTACAATTTATACATGAACACAGTACAGACAAGAATGCCTCATTGAAACCACTCCACCGATTGCTCAATTACTGTTCAGTGTCACAACCTTTGGACTGTTAATTCCAAATGCCCTGAGACCAAATGTTGTTGTGAAATACCTTAAGATTGTACCTTAACACATTTTACTGATCATCACAAACACACACTAGCTCTCTCTTTAAAATAATTTGATCCATTAGGTTCAGTAACATTTGAAAAGTCTCAAAGAGCAATTATTACTATCTATG